TATGTCAGAGTCAGATGAAAAATAACAGAAACAAATCCACATATTCCCTGTGTTCTCAGCTATAAAACAGGCCTAAGGTCTCCCCCCATGCAGTTTTTGTTAGGATTAGAAATAGTATCTGTTTCTGGGGTGCCTGGGTGGCTCAGATGGTTAAGCGTCTGCCTTCGGCTCAGGTCATGGTCCCAGGGTCCTGGGATCAAGCCCTGCATTGGGCTCCCTGCTCAGCGGGAGGCCTGCTTCTCCCTCTCCCACTCCCTCTGCTTGTGTTCCCTCTCTCGCTGTGTCTCTCTCTGTCAAATAAATAAATAAAATATTCAAAAAAAAATAGTATCTGTTTCTATTAAGAATCTAGCATGGTTGCGGCGCCTGGGTGGCTCAGATGGTTAAGTGTCTGCTTCAGCTCAGGTCATGACCCCAGGGTCCTGGGATCGAGCCCCGCATCGGGCTCCCTGCTTGGCAGGGAGCCTGCTTCTCCCTCACCCTCCAACTGTTCCCCCAGCTTGTGCTCTCTTGCTCTGTCAAATAAATAAATAAAATCTTAAAAAAAAAAAAAAAGAATCTAGCATGGTGCCTGGCACACTGATTCTGTTAATGAGTTTGGGACTTATAGTTTGTCATCTGCCCTTATAACCTTCATGGAGAAAAGACAGTCACCCTGCTATGCTATGAGAAGCTGACCTCTAAGATCGCTTTGTACTTTCTCTCTGCAAGATTAAGAAGGCCCCTAAGATGAATTGCTTTTTCCAACTTCCTAACTCTCATCAGTGCTACAAGACCCAATTCCTCTATCTTGAGAACTGGCTTTGGGGGGAGGGGGATGACAGAATAAAGGGGTGGGAAAGGAACTGAGGAAGGGGTGAGAGTTGCACTGAAGCAACCAACCAAGGTAGGCAGGGAAGGAAGTGAAGCCAGGAAGGAGACTGACATCCAGGGCCTGGGTGTCCTGTTTTGGCCCAAGAGCAGCATCAGTGGGAATAAAAGAGTGGAACAGTATTAGGACAGGAGGCTGCAATCAGAGAGGGTATTCCACATGCACGTTCCAGAGATGGATTCTGTATGATGATAAGGCTGGGACTGGATGCAAGGCCATGGGAGACAACGTGCAGGTTGAAGAAGTAGGGAGGATCAAGAAATTAAGAGTCCAGAGTATGAGACAGGTCCAGTGGACCAGTGATTCTTCACTGGGGCCCTACTGGCCCTGGGGGATATTTGGAAATGTGTGAGGGAATCTTATGGGGTTTCCCTTCCATCCCATTTTTCTTTTTTGGATGCCACAATGTCATGGGGGTACTACTAGCATTTGGAGGAAGGCAAGATGATGAATATCCTGCAGAAGGAAGGTCTGCCTCCTCAAAAATGCTCAGAGCACCCTCACTGAGAGACACTGAGAAGAGAATGAAGCTGGAAGCTAGTGTCCCCAGTGAAGGTAAGGAGATTGGCCAGGCGGCTGGCACACCACTGCAATGAAGGGGAGGATAAAAAGTGTCTAGTGAGGGGCGCCTGGGTGGCTCAGTTGTTGGGCGTCTGTCTTCAGCTCAGGTCATGGTCCCAGGGTCCTGGGATCGAGCTCCGCATCAAGTTCCCTGCTCAGTGGGGAGCCTGCTTCTCCCTCTCCCACTCCCCCTGCTTGTGTTCCCTCTCTCGCTGTGTCTCTCTCTGTCAAATAAATAAATAAAATCTTAAAAAAAAAAAAAGAATCTAGTGAGACGTGAGCCTCAAAGCCCACGTTTAGAACTTCAGAACAAGGAGTGAAACACAATGGATGGGAAACAGTAGGAGAGATGTAGGAGAGCAGCAACCTTGACTCCTGGCCCCAGAATATTTCGGGGAAGCATGTGCAGAAAGGCAGGTGGCCCCTGCTAAGAAACCAAATACAAGTGCGAAAGCCAAGTTCAGCTAAAGAGAGGTGGGGCTAGCCAGGGTGAAAAGGGTAAGAATGTGGAGAAGTCTCTCTGAAGAACAGGGAGTTTCCAAGTCCCATTAATCACATCTCAACAATGTCTCAATTCCTTGGTCTTCCTTTCCATCTTTGCTGCCCTCCACCCTCAAGAGCTTTCACTTGGGCTGTCAAGAGAGCCTTACTGCTTGTCTCTATGCTATCAATCTCTCATCTTGCCAGCCTACCTTTTACACCATTGCCAGAAACATCTTTCTAAAATACAAGTCTGATCATGTCATTCTCTGCATGAAAACCTTCAACTGTTCCCATTGTTCATCTAACTAAATCCTAAACTTAGGATGGCATTCAAGGCCTTCTATCACCCAGCCTAAACTGAACTGTACTAGTCACTTCTCCCTTCTTTTGCGTATCTCCATGCCAGACTGCTTGCTTTCCTATTCCCTTTACTCATGGTCAGTTTCCATGATCCTCTGTTGGAACCTATCCGAAACTGTATTCATTTTGCTTTATGTTCAAACTCACCACTGTGAGTTCACAAGTCCATCTCTTCCACTACCAGTGCCTTCTTAACTTCCCTGAAGGTAAAATTCACCTGGGATACTTGCTGAAAACACAAATTCCTAGGCCCCATCCCAGACACATGGAATCAGAATCTTTTTTTTTTCTCCAGTTAGATTAGTGCAAGGACTTTCTTTTACTGGCGATGAGAACAGCCACTAGAGAGTTTTGAAAAATGATGGATGTGATCTGTTTTATGTTCTTGAAGGTCCCCTTGTCTGTATCGTGGATAATTAACTGTATAGCAGCAAAAGTGAAGTAGTGAGGACATTCAGGAAGGAAATGAAGGGAAGAAGGAGGTAGCCTGGACTTACCGTGATAGCTGTGGAGGTGCTGAGAAGTGGTCAGATGGAAGCTTCATCTCAATGTAAAGCTGACATGCTGCTAGACAGTTAAGACTGAAATTTGCCTATGAAATTTTAGTGTTAGTCACCTACATAATTGCTCTTTGTTAGTGTGAGTGTGTGTATTTATAAAATTTCTTTCTTAATATTATGTTGCCAGACCTTGCTAAAGAAGACCAGGGCACTACCTGTATAAAATATTTGATAATGCCCCAGAATGCTGGATGGACTACTCTAGAAAAGAAGAAATTATTTCTAAAATAGCATCTTGCATTGTGTAACATGGAATCAGAATCTTTAGGGGAGGGGCTGGGGAAGCCATATAGGATGGTTTTTAAAACATGTCCAAAAAAATCTTTGACATTCCTCCCATTAAAAAGTACAGTCAGAGGGGCACCTGGGTGGCTCAGTTGTTAAGCGTCTGCCTTCGGCTCAGGTCATGATCCCAGGGTCCTGGGATCGAGCCCTGCATCGGGCTCCTTGCTCAGCAGGAAGCCTGCTTCTCCCTCTCCCACTCCCCCTGCCTGTGTTCCCTCTCAGCTTAACCGACTGAGCCACCCAGGAGCCCCACCCCATGTGATTTTTTTTTAAATCTACTTTTATTTTTTATTTTTTTAAAGATTTTATTTATTTATTTGACAGAGACAGGCAGCGAGAGAGGGCGCCTGGGTGGCTCAGTTGGTTAAGCAACTGCCTTCGGCTCAGGTCATGATCCTGGAGTCCCGGGATCGAGTCCCGCATCGGGCTCCCTGCTCGGCGGGGAGTCTGCTTCTCCCTCTGACCCTCCCCCCTTTCATGTGCTTTCTCTCTCTCTCTCTCATTCTCTCTGTCTCAAATAAATAAAATCTTTAAAAAGAAAAGAATAATACATATTTGCTATAAAATTACAGTAATACAAAATGCATAATGTGGAAGGGAAAAGGGTTCTCAGTCTCCCTCCACCTTCACTCTACCTTAAACAGTAATCAAGGTCAATAGTTTGGAAGGGCAATGTTTCCACAGAGCAAGTGCGTGACCCATCTGTTATTGAAGAAAAGGGGACATTGTAGATTACAGATACTTACCTCCTATTGGTATTTAGCTGTATCCTAGATACAGCTCCCAGAATCATTTTCTTCAGATCTTGACCATCTTTTTTCTCTTAAATGTATAATAGCTTCCTATTAATTAACAAACTCTACTCGTGAGTTAAACCTACCATCTGTCCTAAGCTCCTCCCAGTAGGGCATTTCTATTTGAGTGAAGTCAATGTGTTTGCAATCCCTGGTATATTATTTATATATACTATCCCTTCTACTCTGTTGAGTGCCTTCTATATTCCAGTCACCGTGCTATACACTTCTATACACGTGCTAGGCATATAAATTAAGCAAGAAAGAGACCCTCATATCAAAGAACTCATGGTCCAAGCAGGGGGTCAGCAAACTTTTTCTTAAAGGATCAGATAATAAATATTTTAGACTTTGAGGCCATATGGTCTCTGGTCTCTGCTGCTGTAGCATGGAAGCAGCCATAGACAATGCACAAATGGATGTGGCCATGTTCCAATAAACCTTTATTTACTAAAACAGGCAGGCAGTAGGCCATAGTTTGCTCACACAGTTTGCACTGCATTCTGTTCAACAGAATGTTATGAAATGGTCAAATGTTTCTGTGATCTCCAATATGGTAGCCACCAGCTACATGTAGCTATTGGACACTTGAAATGTGGCTAGTACAGCTGATGAACTGAATTAATTAAATTTAAATAGGCACATATGTAGTGGCTCCCATATTAGATAATGCAGATACAGAGTATACCTAACACTCCATTCAACTAAATCAAAACTTGCCTCAAAACTCATCTCAACTTTGGAAAGCCTCCCTGACTAGCTTCTGCCCATGATGGTCACTTTCTCTCTCTTATTCTGTTTTTAGTCCTTACTCCCATTCATTCTGGACTTGCTGACACTTTGCCTAAGAATTACATGTTTTATAATTAACTTTCGTGTTTGTAACTTTTTCTATTCCCAACTTAAAAAAATTCCAGGATAGAGAATGTGTCTCCTGATTATTATCATCCTTCTCCACGGTGTCTAAATTTCAGAAGGTGCTCAATAAAGCCATTTTACACCATGTACTTCCTTTACTTATTTCCCTAACAGGTGGTAATGTTTGCTCAAAACAGATGGTCGTTTTGGATCAGGATCAGCACTTACTTGGAGAATATTTCTACAATAGCCGATGACTTGTTCTTGTTGACAAGAGAAAGTTCTTTGGCTGTTACCCTCAATGATACTGAAGTCCATTGCCGTCTATCAAATGGAGCTGATTCCATCGTCTACAGATACTGAAACACCTATGCAATAAAGAAAGTCAGAATATTAGACACAGACGAGGATTCTCCAGCATCCAAGGACTGGCAGTGGTGTGCCATGACAGAATAGAAAGCCCTAGACCAGCAGAACCACACTCCTCTACTGGTTCTTTCAAAAACTGTAACCTTGGTCAAATGATTCAAATTCTGGGTTGTAGTTTCCTTTAAAATAAGAAGGTTAGACCAGATGATCTCTAAGGTCCCTTTCAGTTCCATCATTTTATGACTGACCTCAGTGTGCAAACATCAGTTGGCCTTCCCCTGAACTTAAGTCTGTTCCAGAGTCACATTTGGAGTGAAATGTTCCACTCTTCTGAGTTATATCCCAAGAGAAGTACTTTGGCATCTCTGTAGATTGAGGTCCAAATTAGGTTCTACCTGTATCCAAGTTTCTTTTGGCTGCTCTCTCTCCCCAAACTCTGCAACACTGATCACTTGGTTTGGAGAGAGAGCTGGGGACACTGTATGGCATCATCTAAAGAGCAAGGGCTTTAAGTTGAGATAGACTTTACTTGAAATCATAACTTTTGTTACCGTTTTTTTAAAAAGATTTTATTTATTTATTTGATGGAGAGAGACACAGTGAGAGAGGGAACACAAGCAGGGGGAGTGGGAGAGGGAGAAGCAAGCTTCCTGCTGAGCAGGGAGCCCGATGTGGGGCTTGATCCCAGGACCCTGGAATCATGACCTGAGCCGAAGGCAGACGCTTAATGGCTGAGCCACCCAGATGCTCCATAACTTGTTACCTTGAACTATATAATCTTTTCAGTTTTACTTTCTTCAGCTGAAAAATGAGAATAATACCTTCCATTATAGGTGTTTTGATATGGATTTAAGAAGATAATATATTTTAAATCAAAGTACATTATACTATACTATACAAAATACTTATACTAGTATTAAGAACATTTTAAGTATAATATATTAGAATTGGCTTTTGTTAGAATTCTTATTATTTTTACATTTTAACAATCTTAACTGGGGGAAGTATAATGCACTTTATTTATTTATTTATTTATTTATTTATTTATTTATTTGACAGAGAGAGAGAGACAGAGAGAGAGCACAAGCAGGGGGAGTGACAGAGGGAGAGGGAGGAGCAGAGTCTCCGCTGAGCAGGGAGCCCAACACGGGGCTCAATCCCAGGACTCTGGGATCATAACCTGAGCCGAGGGCAGATGCTTAACTGAATGAGCCGCCCAGGCGCCGTGGTATAATGTACTTTAAATTCAGAGGACAAAACCCCTATTCCGAAATTTCTTTCTAAAATCCCTTAAAGTCAAAGAATACATAAAGCCGTGCCCCCGAAATCATCTAGTCCCTATCCATTAATCTGGATTGTTTGTTTTTTGTCCCAGAAATTACCAAAGGAGTTTTTGCCTTAGTAATTACCAAAGGAGTTCCAACCTTTGTCCAGGAGAGGTAAGACTAGAAATGAGCCAATAGTTTCCTTATTTGAAGAGTGAAAAATACTACTTGCAGGTCTCTTGACAACCACAAAGCATAACTGACCTGGCAGAACGCACGGTTCATCAGGTACTGCTTCTAACAACCTTGACAACAATGGAACACACGGTGTGCTTACCTAAGCAGCTTGGGCCACCATTTCACACTAAAAGTCCTCTTATTCAAAGTAAGTGATAAGCAACCCTAAAAGACCACACTACTTTTCCACCTGTAGTACTCGTTCTTCCAACTAAAGCATTGTCTGAAAACAGTGCTAATTTTATTGTTTTTGTTTACTTGTTAATCCCCATGTTGGAAGGTAACATAGAAGCCTCTCATGGTAAGGAGGTCTGGCGTTAGAGACAAATGGATCCCTAAAACTTAGATTTCTCATCCATAACAATAGTACTTCCTTCATAATATCCTTATGAGGAATAAATAAGAAAAAGAAGAAAAAGACCCTGACACAGAATAAGTAATAAATGTTGGTTTTTTTTATAATATCTCTTTTCCTGGATAAAATAATCTCAATTCTACATGTTTGGTTTTTTTTAAGATTTTATTTACTTATTTTGAGAAAGAGCGTGCAAGCAGGGGGTGGGGCAGGAGCAGAGGAAGAGAGAGAATCTCAAGCGACTCCATGCTGCGCGCAAAGCCCAATGTGGGGCTCGATCTCATGAGCCTAAGATCATGACCTGAGCCAAAATAAAGAGTCAGATGCTCAACAAACTAGCCACCCAGGTGCTCCTCTACATATGTTCTTTGAAGTAAACTTGAATGTATCAAATAATGTATATTTGTCTATCGGCTTTCCAGTTTGTATCTGACCCACCAAACATTGTCAGCCCTTATTCTAATGAGAAAAAGACACAGAAACAACAAACAATTCAGCTAAACTTAGTCATGTAAAACCACAATAATGACCTTTGGGCCAAGTTTAGGAAATACTGAACAACACTTTAAGACACTGTTTGGTACAATTGTGCTTCCAATGTAGGTGTGGGTATAAATGCTGTCAGTCCTTCTACAGCAATCAATTCTGGATCAAAGAAAAAAAATATAGAAGATATGTTCTCAAATATATTTATAAAAAGGAAAAATTATTCATTATTTGAGGAACGGAGTGTGGTTAAAAAAAAATTAATTCCCAAATCTAATTCCACGGTGTTGATTAATCTTGGCCGGAAATCCAAGAAAAGTTAGAATATCTATCTTGGTATATAAGGCTAGGATAAGCATGCTTTATGTTCAAGGAATGAGGTAGCTCACACCCTGACCACACTTCTCTTTACAGAAGCAATACTACTAATTTCTTAACAATGTGATTAGCACCCTATGAAACAGATAAAGGTAAGAATCAGTATATGATTTTTTTTCTTCCAATATTTTATTTATTTATTTGACAGAGAGAGACACAGCAAGAGAGGGAACACAAGCAGGGGGAGTGGGAGAGGGAGAAGCAGGCTTCCCGCTGAGCAGGGAGCCCGATGTGGGACTCGATCCCAGGACCCTGGGATCATGACCCGAGCCGAAGGCAGCCGCCCAACTGACTAAGCCACGTAGGAGCCCCAGTATATGATTTTTGATAGACTCTGGTATCAGGTTACTGAGTAACTAGCTACTTTCTATAAGGTATAGGGAGAGGGCCCTGCCCAAATAGAGTGTAAAATATATTGACTTGGAGTGGGTTCCCTGCTCAGCAGGCAGTCTGCTTCTCCCTCTCTCTCTGCCCTTCCCCCGTACATGTTCTTTCTCTCTCTCTCTCAAATAATAAAAATCTTTATAAAAAATCTGTTGGCTTGGGAAGCCTGGGTGGCTCAGTCGGTTAAGTATCTGCCTTCGGCTCAGGTCATAATCCCAGGGTCCTGGGATCGAGTCCCGCATTGGGCTCCCTGCTCTGTGGGGAGCCTACTTCTCCCTCTGCCTCTGCCTCTCTCTCTGTCTCTCATGAATAAATAAATAAAATCTTTATTAAAAAAAAAATCTGTTGGGGGCGCCTGGGTGGCTCAGTTGGTTAAGCGACTGCCTTCGGCTCAGGTCATGATCCTGGAGTCCCAGGATCGAGTCCCGCATCGGGCTCCCTGCTCAGCGGGGAGTCTGCTTCTCCCTCTGACCCTCCCCCCCTCATGCTCTCTCTCTATCTCATTCTCTCTCTCAAATGAATAAATAAAATCTTTAAAAAAAAAAATCTGTTGGCTTGCTGACATGGACACAAATAATTATAGCACAAAGCAGAATGTGGTTAGAGGTAATGCAAGGTCTAGGAGTAGGGGATCTGATTTTCTGGCGTGATGGGAGGGAAGGGAAGAGACGTCAGATTGACTTAAGACTTACGGATGGGCAGAATTTCATCAACTGAGGGCGAGAGGAGGAAAGTGCATCTCAGGTAGAGAGAATAGCTTTACACTGTTAGGGAGCTGAAATAGCACAGTATACTTCGATGGAGTTGACCGTAGGTACATGAGTAGTTGAAGATAAGGTAGGGAAATAATGGGGCCAGGATGGGAAAAACCTTGAAAACCATGTTAAGGAGTCTGGGCCATATTCCAATAGCGGAAAGAACTAGTCTGTGAGTGAGCAAAGGTAAGTACTAGTCTTAACATGCCACTCCCTAGCAGAGGTGCGACCTTCTTGGCAAATCAAAAAGGTAAGTTCCCTGAGCCCAACACCCACATCTGTAAGATAAGAGTTTTATAGTGGATCACCCATAGTCTCTATGGTGGAACATGGCAAGTTTCTGAAAAAGCAAGTAACATAATGGGAAGCATGTTTTAAAGCTGATTCTGCAGCAGTGTATAACTTGGTAAGAAAGGAAAAGATTGGAGTCTAATTTACTTGTCAAAAAGATCCTAAAACTGTCGAAGTGAGAGGTAATCAAGGTTTACATTAGGATGGGGGGAATGGTAAGGTGGGAAAAGAGAATTGACAGTTCTTAGAATAAAATGGACTTAGGGATAGAGAAGGAATCAACTCTGGCATCATCAAACTTGAATAATTAGAAGATTGTTGATGTCTTAACAGAGACAGTAAATACAGGAAGAATGGGAGAATGATGAGTTTTGCTTTACACATGTTGAAATATACACATCTACAAGAAAAATCCTAGTTATACACTATAGGAAGCTAAAAATTCAAGGCTACAGGATGCCTGGGTGGCTCAGTTGGTTAAGCATCTGCCTTCGGCTCAGGTCATGATCCCAGGGACCTGGGATCAAGTCCCGCATCGGGCTCCTTGCTCAGCGGGGAGCCTGATTCTCCCTCTGCCTGCCACTCCCCCTGCTTGTGCTTTCTCTCTCTCTCTAATAAATAAATAAAATCTTTAAGAAAAAAATAAAAATAAAAATTCAAGGCTAAGGTTAAAAGACTCTTGGAAAGAAACATTTTACAACATCTACTTACATGAAGTACATATCTCACTTAATTCTCAGAACCGCTTTACAAAATTGGTTTTATTGTCTTATATATATGATGAAAAACTAAAATTCAGAGATATTAAATAACTTTACGATGATCTC